CCGGTTCCGACAAGGGTTCCCAAAGTTTTGACAAATTGCTGATCGGGCATGACAGCCTTAATCGCTGTTTGGAATGCTATTGAAGTGGAATGCAGAGCAATTAATGTAAGAGCAGCAGCACTTGTGAAATAGCAAACATAGGAGGACTTGTTGCTGTCAACAGCTCCCCAAAACAGAAGGCAAGATGCAATTATTGAGCAAGTCATGGCAATGCTGTCTGTGACGATGAACCACTTGAAATCATTATTTGACTGCAGTAGAGCCTGCCCTCGGTCTGGGCCTACATCATTGTTGTAGCCTCCAGGCATTGTGAAGGCAGCTGAAAATGTTACAGTTGTGATAAGTGTTGCAACCATCAAAAGGGTCTGACCCATTTGCATGTAAGTTTGCACTGCACTGGCTTCTTCTTGTTCAGCTCTTGGGGAAATCTTGATGTTGCCCAACGAAGAATGCGAGGTACCGAGATGCCCCCAAAAGTTTGGCATAATGTGCTGCCATTTCTATCAGATGAATTGTTGTATTTGTTAAGCATTATGACCAATTATATACAAGGGAAGGGGTATTATGTATTTAGTACTCACCCTAGGAGATTTCATACCGGATTCCTTAAATGACCTATCAATGTCAAATGCTGTTTGGCCACTTTTGTTCTTGGAACTTTGATTTACTCTTCCATCCCACCTCAAGTAACATAGAATCCAAGTTTTTCTTTCTATGGTGGCCAGATGCAAAGGTGTGTTTCCATTGATATGAGGTTGATTCATGAGGCACTCCAGTTCTGGTGTTTCTAGTACATACCTGACAACATTTGCTTGGCCACCAAAGATGGCCATATGAAGAGCATTCTGTCCATATAGGTCACAAATTTCTCCAGAGTCTGGGCAATGTCGCATGATCTCTCTAATCACACTGGTATGACCTCTGCCTGCTGCAACATGAATCGGTGAATGGCCATCTTTGTCCAAAACATATGCAACAGACAAATCAAGTTCTAGTAATCGTTGAACTGTTCTGTGGTGGCCAAGGGATGCTGCGTAGTAGAGAAGCCTTGGTTGATCAGTTTCTTTGATCAGCTGCTGTTTGAACCGTAGGAGTACTTCCACGATCTCTTACGATGACAAAAATTGAGGTTGAGTTCAAATAAGAAAATACAGAAGTTGTGAAACTCGTATGACCCTATGTGCAATATATATATATAGGGGGCGGATCAGCACCACATATATATGCATTTGTGTGTTTGTGTGAATGGAATTTTATTCTATGAAACTTCAAATACCAAACGCATCTATCTGAAGTTAAAGTCCATAAAGAATTGCAGGGAGTTGGATATTATAGTAGTTGGTGAAAGTGTGTGCAAAGTGAAAGCATCCATTGCTAAAAAAGTTAGAACAGAACTGGGTCAAAGTATGACATACCAAAATGCTTCTCAATAACAGCAGCATGCAAAGCGGTTTGGCCATCTGACCCGCCATGAGCTGATGATGCAGTTGATTTTAAAATCTGATTCAGAATCTCAAACATTCCTCCTCTTGCAGCCACATGTAAAGGAGTATCTCCATCTAAGTTTTGCTGTGTGAGAAAGGACCTGCATCTGCTATAAATCTCAGCCACAACCTTTGTGTGTCCAAATTGCATGGCGATATGGAGGGCTGTGTTTTCTCGGGGTGTAAGTTGATATAGTAGGCTCGGATTGTCATTAAGAAGTTGTTTGAGTAAGCAAATGTCACCTGACTTTGCAGATTTGTTGAGCCTTGGGTCCATGGAATGTTGGTAATGATCAACTAGTACATAATCTGTGGATGGTTTATTCAAGGCCTTGTGATTTTAAGTAGCAGTTGTGAAAGAATATATAAACTCATCATCCCATCTTAGTCTTGCTGTTGACAATCAAAAGTTTGCAATGGTTCATTTTAGTTTTCGAGACAGGTGGAAGAACGAAATACACGGAAAAATTCAAGCCAAGCTGACCACCATATAAACTACAGCAGAACATCACAATCCAATTTGAAAATATACATAACTTCTGGTGGGACGAGTTTTCACTGAGGCAGGTGCAACTCAAAGTCCTTCGTGAGGTCTACATGAATCTTTTCAAGAGGTTTATGCCCATTTCATACTCTAATCTGTCATGTGGTTTATCAATTCAACGCCAGTCATTCTAAAACTATGAAACTGGTCATAAGTATAACTAACTGATGTAATGTAAGATAGCGACGAGTATTTAAACACCAATTGGTTTCTTTAGAAGGCAGAAGCAGAAAGCAATCACTATAATATGCTGGGAGAGAGTTAGAAGTCAAAGCCCTGTATGATTTTCTTCTGCAATGTGAGAAGCATGGAACTAAAATAATGTGCAGGTAGAAAAGACTTTGCTCCTTTTGAAAAGGTCAATCTTGCTAGGCTATATAAATAATATACCTTTTCTATGTGACTATGTAGTCGTTATAATTTTACCAATAATATAACACGTATGCTTGTTGAGGAGTGCTAAACCTCTTGTTTGAGCTTACTCTAAAATGCCATATCGTGACAAAAAGAAGACCAAATTCATTATTATCATGAATATTTTTATTGTTTACAGAAAGTATCCTAATATTCTTTATACTTTTTTTGTTGAAACTTTGTCAATGTTGCTGAAATTTGACAAGTGTCAAAACCCCATTGGTTTTAAGGAGGAGGAGCTCCTCCTCAATTTTAAGGACCCAAGTCATGCTTTTCTTTTAATCACAATTAGATGACGTTATGAAGTGGGTCCAAATGAGTTGTTAGCGTCATTCGCAATGACAAAGGGGAAGTTATGGTGGCAATGGATGTAGGCTTTCTACTTCAAAACATGCAAAAAAATTGGCTTTTTACTTCAGATTGAAAATGTCGTTGGATGCAGGCTCTACTTCCATCTTGGTGGAATCAGATGCTCAAGCTGTTATTTGTCAATTGCAAAAATAAGAGGAGGACCTTGCATCGGATGGCAATCTCATTGAAGAAGTTAAGAGGTATCTTAATCAGTTTCAGAAGATTTATATTTCTTATATCCCAAGAGATTATAATATTGTTGCTCATAAATTAGCCGCTCATGCTATCAAATGTCAGCATGTGAAAATTTGGCATGAAGATGTTCCTCCCTGGTTGGAATATTCTGTATTCGATGATGCCTGTAACCCTTGACTTCTCTCAATGACTTATGTACTTGCTAAAAGAAACTAGGTAACGATTAAGCTCTACTGTATGTTTATTAACACTGTACTTAAAATTATAAACCCGTTGCAATTGAGGTTAAACCATGATTTTCATTTAACAAATTAACAGCAGCCAAACATATGCACTCTCTCCCTCGTCTAGGATCCACATTTTTCCTAATACAGCAGCCAAACATGCCCTAAATAAAAAGGTCAGGATCAGCAACCATATAATTTTATACACAGATAGTGACAGTCTTTGAATGTTTCCGCACTTTGAACAGTTGAGATTCTTTATGACATAAAATTACTTTTTTCTGAATTTTTTTTTATGTATCTTGGAGTACAAGAAAAGAAGGAAAAGAAGGAAAAGAAGGCATCAACTATATGAAATAATATCGAGTTACAAGACAAATACATCAAAATTGCATAATATTGTGGCAGCTTGTAATCTCTACACCCTTATACAGAAGAATTGTTCATCAAATAATGTGACAGATGTGCTGAAGGAGTAAAGTTGAACTAAAAAGTAGTGCAGAATCCACTCATTCTTCGTGATTTGTTCTTAATTCTGCAGCTGAGCTTGAGATGAGAAATGAAGAATCTGCAGGCTTCAGGAAGGGAAAACATTTTCACCAGTTGGGAAAGAAACGAAAAGGTACTAACATGAAAAGAGATTCCAACTACGTGGCCCAAGACTTCGACAAATTGCTGATGGGGTATGACAGCCTTAACTCCTGCTGTGAATGCCATTGCAGTGGATAGCAGAGCAATATATGTAAGAGCAGCAGCAATTGTTAAATAGTAAACATAGGAGGACTTGTTGCTGTTAACCGCTCCCCAGAACAGAAGGCATGCTGCAATTATTGAGCAAGTCATGGCGATAGAGTCTGAGATGATGAACAACTTGAAATTTCTATTTGACTGCAAAAGAGCCAGCCCTTGGTCTGGGCCTACATCATTGTTGTAGCCTCCAGGCATTGTGAAGGCAGCTGCAAATGTTACAGTTGTGATAAGTGTTGCAACCATCAGAAGGGTCTGGCCCATTTGCATGTTAGTTTGCACTGCATTGGCCTCTTCTTGTTCTGCTCTTGGGGAAATCTTGATGTTGCCCAACCAAGAATGCGAGGTACCGAGATGTCCCCAAATGTTTGGAATAATGTTTGGCAATTCCTATCAGATGAACAGTTGTAGTTTGTTAAGCATTGTGACCAGTTATATATACAAGGGATATTAATGATGTATTTAGTACTCACCCTGGGAGATGCAATACTGGATTCCTTAATTGACCTATCAATGTCAAATGCCGCTTGACCACATTTGTTCACGGAACTTTGATGCACTCTTCCATCCCACATCAAGTAATACATAATCCAAGTCTTCCTTTCTATGGTTGCGAGATGCAAAGGCGTGTTTCCAATGACATCAGGCTGATTAATGAGGCACTCCAGTTCTGGTGTTTCTAGTATATACCTGACCACATTTGCTCTGCCACCAATGATAGCCATATGAAGAGCATTCTGTCCATATAGGTCACAAATTTCTCCCGAGTCTGGGCAATGTCGGATGATCTCTCTAATCACAGAGGTATGACCTTTGCTGGCTGCAACATGAATTGATGAATGGCCCTCTTTGTCCAAAACATATGCAATAGAAGTATCAAGTTCTAGTAATCGTTTAACTGTTCTATGTTGGCCAAGGGATGCTGCATAGAAGAGAGGAGTTCTGCCTTGGTGATCAGTTTCTTTGATCAGCTGCTGTTTGAATCGTAGGAGTGTTTCCACAATGTCTTACCATGACAAAAATTGAGCTTGAGTTTAAATAATGAAAATACAGAAGTTGTGAAACTAATATGACCCTATGTTCAATATATATGTATATACATGTGTGTGTGACTGGAATTTTATTCTATGCAACTTCAAATACCAAACGCATCCATCTGAAGTTAAAGTCCATAAAGAATTGTAAGGAGTTGGATATTATAATAGTTGCTCAAAGTGTGTGCAAAGTTAAAACATCCATTGCTAAAACAGCTAGAACAGAACCACGCCAAAGTATGACATACCAAAATGCTTCTCAACCACAGCTGCATGCAAGGCTGTTCTGCCATCTGACCCACCATGAGCTGATGATGCAGTTGATTTTAAAATCTGATTCAGAATCTCAAACATTCCTCCTCTTGCAGCCAGGTACAATGGAGACTCACCCGCATCATTTTCAATAGATGCCAATTTAGGGTCAATTGTAAGCAAGAACTGAACCAATTTAATGTGACCATTCCTCACAACTTCATGTAAAACTGTATTTTTCCCCCTATTTCCCATTCTCAGCGTCTCAAACATGCCATCATTTGCATTCCTGAAGTCTTCCTGTGACATGGATAAAATTTCTCTGACCAGATCATTGAAGATAGAGAAGCAACCAATCCTTGCAGCCACATGTAAAGGAGTATCTCCATCTAAGTTTTGCTGTGTGAGAAGGGACCTGCATCTGCTATAAATCTCGGCCACAACATTTGAGTCTCTAAATTGCACAGCGATATGGAGGGATGTGTTTTCGCGGGGTGTAAGTTGATATAGTAGGCTGGGATTATCATTAAGAAGTTGTTTGAGGAAATAAATGTCCCCTGACTTTGCAGATCTGTAGAGCCTTGGATCCATGGGATATTGGTAATGATCAACTAGTACCAACTTTGTGGATGCTTTATACAAGGCCTTGTGAAAGAAAATAAAAAGTCATCATCCCACAGCTTAGTCTTATTGTTGATAGTCAACAGTTTGGAATGGTTCATTCATTGACCTATATAGCCTTGTTTAAAAATCATGACGTGATTTTCAGGACAAGTGGATGAACAAAATCTGCAGTTCAATTCAAGTAAAGCTAACCTAACTCAAAGTCTGTGTGAGGTCTACATGACAGTTAGTTGCACATAACTTTCCAAGAGGGTCAATGCCCCTAGGTATCATACTCTTATCTGCTACGTGGTTGATCAGTTCAACTCCAGCCATTCTAAAGCCAGAAGTTGTTCATAATTTAAACTAAGTGATTAGTTATTTAAAAGCCAGAAGCAGAACGCAATCACTATAATATTCTGGGAGAGAGTTCAAAGTCAAAGTCTCTCTTGTTCTTTTTTTCTTGCGCAACAAATTTTCTTTTCTTACTTAGTGAAAGTCAATGCAATTGCTTTCACTTAATTTTTTCTTTCTTTCTAATGGTTGGAGTTCAAATGTCTCCTCTGCTTTACAGTAGAATTCTATTTTAATCCGAACCGAGTGAATGATCTTAACTTATGGAAACCTTTTGCTCTTCTTTTTTGCATTTAATTTTTTTTCTTTTCACCCTTTCTCCAACTCCAGTTTTTTTGACTGATTTTCCTTCTTGTGTGCTGTCTGGTGTAAGAGCTCTTCCTCCTATTGTTGTTTCACATAAACAATCTCATTGAACATTTCAATGAAGTTGTTATCAAAATTTCCTTTTGGAGCAACTCAACTCACAAGAAATAGTGAGTGCAAAATCATCCTGTATCAAATGGAGGGCAAAGAAGGTTGGCCTTGGATTCACATAGTCCTTCAAGCCAATTCTTGTTTTGTGGTTATTTGGCTACTTTTTTTGCAACAAACCTTCATTCTTTTGCTTGCAGCCAATTTTCCTTTTGGTATCCAAAGATCAAATGGTCTTAGACCAATTATAATGTTTATTAAGTTCTGATTGCATAGATAAGCTCCCAAAGAAAATGTATTACTCTAACCTAACAATGCAACAAAATGGAAATGGAAACTTGTCTAGACAGGGTGCCCTGATTCTCGTCGGTCAACCACTGGATATATGATTACTATTGGAACCAACCTCATCTCCTGGTGTTCCAAGCAACAACCCACTGTCTCGCACTCTAACATAGAATTGGAATACCGCACCCTCTCTTATGCTTGTGCTAAAACCACTTGGCTCTGTCTGCTCCCTCCTTCTTGAATTGGGTGTGCGTATTCGGTTCTCGGTCCTCCTCTATTGTGACAGTCTCAACACCACTCACATGGCGGCCAATCCAGTTTTTCATGCCCGCACACGTCACATTGAGTTGGACTACCACTTTGTCCGTGAAATGGTTGCTCTCGGAAGTCATCAAGTTTGCTTTGTTCCCTCTGTTGACCAACCTGTGTACCAGGTTACAAGGGCCCTTCACAAACCACGCCATCAACATATGTCTTCCAAACTTGTTCATCCTGCGACGTCCAGTTTGCGAGGGGTGTTAATGCAGTTTTCCTTTCCTAGCACATACAGAAGTCAACCTCACAATCTCCTCCTAGCAATTAGCTTTCCTACTATAAATCAGATTGTATTTATGTCTATATTATTTCCTACCTTAAGTAAACTTCCTGTATTTGTATAAATAGGGAATTTGTATAATTTGTTTACTACAAGGAAAATATATTCTCTACAAAAATGTATTACTCTCACCTAACAATGCAACAAAATGGAAATGGAAACTCTTTTTTGCACTCAGCCTTAATATATATATATATATATATAATATAGGAGGTTGAATTTGAGCAAATAAGGGGTTGAAATCAAATGAAACCATCCAAAATTCAGATGAATGTTTAAAAAGAAAATCCTAGATAGGGGTTTTCTAAGCTAGGATAACCTTCGGTTATAATTAAAAACTCACATGGGTGACATCGTAATGACTATTTAAGGACGAATTGGAAAACCCTAATATATAAAATCATTATCTATTCATATTATATCACGTGATGGAGTTACGGTCACATTCAAAAGCTTTTCGATGGGAGAATTGGATTAAGGTGATTTTTGAGAGGCAAACACACACACCCTACTTTGTTGCTTCCTACTCTGAATGCACCAAGATGCATTTCTAGAAAAGCACTTCCTGGTATGATTCACTAGCGTAGTGGTTTGGAGCAATTGTCCCTCAGACAAGGTCATGGGTTTGAGTCCTAGCATTCGTTTAGTATATTATCGCCCATCTCAAGAGGAAAGGTCTTTAAAAAAAAATTATCATGTGAATTAAACGGAAAGAATGGTCCAACTATTTGTAGTTTTTCTTTCATGATAATGAAGGGAATCGAATCCTAAACCTTTTTGTTTTTGTGAATACAAACTATAGTCTAAATTAGGGAGAGAGATTTCTAACGCACACCATTAAGCACTGGGGAATCCACAGAGGTGCAAGGAGGTGCACTGCACCTCCTCTCGCTAGAAACTTCCTTGGGGATGCCAGAATTTGTCCCTTTGCTAGTGCCCACCAACTGTTCAACTAAATGCCTCAAAGACGTTGTATTGCTTGCTGCATTGTGAGACCCTGAATATTTACCTTATATTGTTGGGCTCGATCTCACGAGCATGTAGGAGAAAACGGTTCATCCATCGGAGCTCCACAACCAAAGTTATGAATTTTCGAAGTTTTTCTAGAATATTTGAAGTTAAGTTGAAGGGGCACAGTTTAAGGAAGAAGAAGACTCCGCGCGTCAGCGCTTTTGATTTTGATTCTTTTTTAAATGGTCCAATAGCAGGCTAACACATGTCTATTTCTAATTTGCCTAAATTAAAAAAATTCATTAAAAACTCATATGTGTGCCAAAAATTTCACCGAAAATTACCTCAAACTTTTAATCATGTGTACTTTTATTTCATGACCTCCAATTTACATGTGCTTTTGGTTAGATTAATTGGTATTGACTTTTGTTAGATTAATTATGTAATTGACATGGATTTTGTTCATATTTGATATGAATTTTGGTAAACTAATTGTGTCAATGACAAGGATTTTGTTCATATTAATTGATATCCATATAGACTATAATCAATTAGTTGTAGACGTAAAACTCTTATTTGTTTTAATTATGAGTGACATTAGTATTGGTTAAATTCTAAGGGCATTTGTTGTATAAATTTTTTTTGAATTTTTTAGCCTTTCAAATATTGCACCTCCCCTGAAAAATTCCTGGATCTGCCATTGCCATTAAGGTGTCACATGAGGCTTCAAACCTAAGATTACTAGTTTACAAGTCAAAGACTCTTCTCCAAGGGTTGTCCTCTACCTATCTCAATGCTGGGAAATATTAGCAACCTTCTCTCTAACATTCTCTTTTAAACCTTCTCTCTTTTCCTCATGTCATGTGTCATTTTCTTTACACTTAATACAATGTCATTAATGCATAGCTTTTATCTTCCAAAGTTACCCTTATTGAATGTATTAACTTTCTTTTGAATTACTATTAAAAAATAATAAATGTTATTTAATATAATAAAAATATATATAATAATTTAACAAACACAAATTTTTAACAATCTGAATTTAGGGTGATTTTATTGGCACCCCAAAATTTGCTCTTTGCACCCTATATTCTCCTTACACCCGACTGAATTTTAGTAAATTTTAAAATTACTCACTACACCTTATTTTTCTTCCTAGATTGCCCTCATGAACCCCATTCCTTAACTGACCTGTGTAAACCCCATTGAAATCGTTACCTTGTTCAGTGGTAGTCTACCGTATTTGTTTTTGTTTTTCAGTGGTATCCACCGAATGTATTTACGTTTTTCAGTAGTAGTCCACCGAATATGTTTCCGTTTTTTAGTGGTAGTCAACCGAATATGTTTCCGTTTTTCAGTGGTAGTCTACTGAATTCGTTTTTTGTTTCAGTGAATTCGTTTCTTGTTTCAATGATCATCTTCCGAATTCGTTATCGAGTTTGTACTTAATATTGTTTTTTACTAGGAATATGAGCACCTTAGGTGCATGTCGAAGACATCTACCATTCGTTAGTGAAATTGGTGGGCTAATCCAAATAATGATATATTCAAATGATACATTCAGATGTCTTGATTAGAGCAACTTATTAAGTGTTCTTATCGGAATGCAGATAAAATTGTTGTATCTACCTTCGTGTTGAGAAATGACATCCCAAAACGAACATATTTCACATGCCGAGATGACCATCACATTAGATGATGTGTCATATATTTTAAGGGTGTCACCTTATTTTTGTTCCTTCAATGGGAGTAAGGTCAAAATAGCTTACATTAAATTTGTGGTCGACAATAAGTTACTAAAAAAAATAAATATATTTTGATTCGTTGCCACTGAATTGTAGGTAAAAATTCGGTAATACATCATCGAACACTGTTCCATATTATTGTGGATCTCTACTGCATCTAAAGTTAATGGTCAGTCAAACACAGCTGAAATAGGTGCAATGTTTTGGTTGCATCCCACCGAATTTACATATCGTGTTTCGGTACTGGTGTGTTGAAAGTAACCAGCAAACCATCATGAAATCCTAAGCTTGAAAAACGCCAAAAAATAAACTCATACATCATTCGAAGCCTCTCTAACTTCAATCTCAACCTTGATGAATAAATACAATATATTTTTTCACCAATATAAGCGTATAAACCTCATTAGGGTTGTAGAAACATGATGATTTGAGAAAAAAAAAAAAAAAAGTATAACTAGAGTTGCATGAATATATATGGGGTATAGTGAGCAAATTTAATTTCTACATTCAAAGGGTGTACTATTTTTTGGGTGGAGATACTTGGAGAGCTGTGTTTTCAATGCATGGTTGCCAAGTGTTAAATCATCCATGAGGTTTTAGTGGGACACGCATCAATTGCCTAGTACAGAGTAGAGGTGTCA